TCCGTCATCACTCACCTTAGGCCAAGGTAAAGCCCCTAGGTAAGAATAGGTGACCATTAGAATGTCAGGATGAACTTCACAAATTCATACTTACAACCTTTGAAACCACTTACTGAGAAATTCCTCCTTGGAATTTCTCTTCCACACCATTTAAAACCATGAATGAAACCACATACTTTTACTTTGAGACTCATACAAATTCATATACAATCATACATCATTCATGATGAAATCAATACATATATCAAACCAATCAAAACAACTTGGATCAGTCGCTTAACGCATACACTCGCTGAGCGACCATAAAGTTCGCTCGCATAGCGACCCAGATCGTTGTGCGAATCCCATAGACAATACCTCCAGACTCCAAACCACTCGCTCTGCGACCCAGGTCGCTGAGCGAATAAAACTCAATGTACTCCCATACCCTAACCTTTTGCTTAGCGATCCTACTCGCTGTGCGAATTTCCCAAACAGTGGTCCAGACCCTCCAAGCACTCACTCAACGACAAGGTTCGCTATGCGAATAAAACTCCCAGTGATCCCAGACTCCAACTTCTCCCTTAGCGACACAACTCGCTAGGCGAATACCCCATACAGTGTGCCCAACTTCTCAGCCACTCCCTGAGCAACTCCTCTCTCTCAGCGAGTCTGCATAATTTTGCAACACCAAACTGCAGAATCATGAACATGCACCCAAAATGACCAATTGGAAATACTTTCCCCAACTTCTAACTCTCCTAGATCACGTTATATACTTAATTATACTAAATTAAGTGTGTCTAAACCATCCTAACATCAATTTAAAGTATTTACTAATAACATTACACTCCAAAAGCTTCTCAATCTCAACTAATAGACCCAAAATGAATTTTACTACTTTTGACACAGTTTCAAGTAACTTAGGGACTCTATCAAGTCCTAAATGACTTACCTAACCTATCCCAACTGACCAAATGAGCACCTAACCCCTAAATCAAGTTTTCACTACCTCACTTCCTCTAAACTAGCTTTAAACCAAGACAATTTGCATCTACTCGTAACCAACCCATGCTCACACGGATTTCTGACATTTTATACATCCAAATACAGTTCAAACATCATTCTATACATTTCATAATAACAGTTCATCAATTTTCATTCAAAACAATCACATTACACCACATCTATCTACTCTAAAACATCACTTCAGACAGTTCAAGAATCATGTCCATCAACAACCATTACAAAAATTAAAGAATTTTCTAACTTCCCTTACCTCAATGAAATCAACACAGCTCTATAAACCCCGATCGTGGCTTACACCGCAAGAAAACTCTAGAAACACCTACAAATCACTAATTGGCGATTGAAAACAAACCTTAGAACCTAATTGGAGTCAAGAATTGAAGGAAGCAACCACTTGACACATGCAAACAGAAATTCCTTGCGTGATCAAGCATATAGAAATCACTAAGAAAAGAGGAAAGAAACCTACTAACTTTAATCAAGAAATTGATCGGTTAGAAAGGTAGCCCTCGACTCCAAGATCACCTAGACATCTCCTGATCGTCGAACAGATGATCCAAGAGTGAGAAAGGTTAGAGAGAAGTGAGAGAAAACAAAGAGAAAAGAGTCTCGAGAGATAAATGATATTTTAGATAATGAGACGAGTTTTAATAACTTCTATTTATATTATAAGATTATTTTATAATAAAATATTTGGTCTCATTATTTTAATACACCTATCTACTCTAATACTCTATTTTCTAGTTTCTTAAATTTTTCACACAAGAATTGGGTATCTTTGCTTCTTCCTTAACCTAATTTTTTTCCCACACCCCATACAATTTGCAATTTCCAAACTATTCCTCGTTAAAAATATAATTAAAATCCTGCACCTCTTCTCTTTTTAAATTCTTTCGGATTAGTTAAGAAAAATATTTTCGAATTCTAAAAATAATTTTTAAAATAATCAATCAGAAAATATAAAGTGTTGGATACGATGGGAGTGCAGACGATGCAGGATGAGGGAGGAGCTAGGAAGTAAACATGGGGTGCAGGAAGTAGCATCCCTTTCCTTGGTATCCTTTTACTCAAGTATGAGTGAAACTAATATGAATTCATTAGCGAGAACTTCAATTAATTTTAGCCCACGAAATTATGTTTTAACAAAATTACTTACAAAGATTTTTTTGAAAACAAATATAAATATGAAACTAATTCTCTGTAAATTAAAATTAATTTATAAAAATAATATATAGTTTCTTAAGTTTTACTTTTAATAGTACATAAACTAATTTCTTATACATACAAAGAAAATTTCATTCCTTTTCATCTAAAAATCCACCATATAAAATAGTTCCTCTAAATATTTTCTTTTATTTTACTCTCTTATGCATTGAAAACGCCAAAGGGACACAAATACTAGAGCCCGAGTATTGAAGGGGTTACTATGAATGAACCAATTTCACCCAACAATAATATTAAATTTCCAATCAATTAAACAGCAACAATATTGTATAACCATAATACAATAAATAAATATCGATAAATCCATAAGCCGTCAACGGCAAAACCATAACACCGATATACCACTCTAACAACCATAAAATTCCCTCAAAAATCTATAAAACTACGGACTCCACAATGGAATAGTCAATTAAATTGTCGACAAACTGAGAAATGTGATTAATCTACAAAAGCTACCACCCATGCTGTTCATGCATTATCCCTTTCAGCCTCTTCCTAGGATGGCACTGCAAAAACACAATTCGAGGAAACCATGTCAAACTTCAAAACAACGGTGTAAGAATAGAATCAAAACACAAGAACCAAACAAAAGGTGAAGCAAAAATGACACGGGTAAATATATCTTGTACAGAAGAAACTAGGCATCAAAATACAATATCAAAGAGAACATGAAATCCTACTGTAGCTAGCTGTATCAATCTGCTCAGGAAGCTGCTTTATATCAACTTCAAACCTGGATTGAACCTGAAATTCGACAATTAACAAAATGAATATTGCCAATTGACTCAATGTTAGCATTTTGAATAGACAATTATATGAAGCCAAACGAGTCCAGATTCTCAGCTAGATTTTTTGGTGTTGTCCTCTGCTGAGTATTAAAAATACACTGATGTTGGTGCTTTAAAATTATTGTTAATATATTTTAATTGGTGCTTATCAGTGTATTTTAAAGACACAGTAAAGGAATAGCATATAACAACGCAGCAGATAATCTAAATTGAAGCCAAATATTGAGCAAGGAATTTGGATGGAAGATGTTCCGGTAAATGGTGGAAACATGACCGTTATGTTAGAATGCTACTAAATTTCTTAGGTGGCCGCATTTTTTCATAACAGTGACCAGAATTGAATAGGTGACAGAAAAGGAAAATATAAACTAAGTTTCTTACATTGTTGAGAACATCAACATCAGTGGAACATGAAACAAATGTAATTGCAAGGCCCTTGGTTCCAAATCGTCCAGCGCGGCCAACCTGTTCCGTGAATGTACCCAAAAGAAATGACAATTAGATGGCACTAGAGAAGAATAAAGGGGCATAAAACAAATTTTGTAGGAAAAATTTGAAAAGTGAAGAGATTATCTAAGCAGACCCTGTGCAAGTACGTATCAGCAGAATCCGGCATGTCATAGTTTATAACTATATTCACACGTTCGATATCGATACCCCTACCAACCAAATCTGTTGCAACTAGAATTCTTGTATGACCCTCCTTAAAACCTTTATATCGTTTTAACCTGTACAAAAGCAAGAAATTCAGATCAGGCACAATTTACCAATGCACAAAATTGATCTTTTGAGACAAACCAACATTAATAAGACAACAGAAAACAGAAGACTGATAGCTACGATCAGTGAACAATACCAACAGAAACATAGTTGTAGGAACCCAAAAATTATGGACTACCTATCCAAATCATCAATTATAAACCAATGAAGACTGATTTGTCGGCATCCTTTCATATCACAAAATACATACCTTTCTTCTTGAGACATTCCAGAATGAATGCAAATAGATGGGAAGTTGCATTCTCTAAGCAGTTTGTCCAGCTCCGCTGCTCTACTAACACTTTTCACAAAGATAACAATTTGATTGAAGTCCAATGCATCAAGAAGGTCGTTCAACTTCCTGTTCTTCTCCTCCTCTTTCAATTTGATGTAGTGCTGCCATTTCAATAATCCGCATAAGCCACATACCATAAAAGTTGCCAATATTTATCAAAACATAAACCAGTAAATAATATAGTTTGGTAAAAGGCCCACCTGCACAAGTCCATGAAGGGTCAACTTTGCTTCGTCATCAACATAAATTTCCATTGGCTGAAAGGAACAACGATACAGTAAATCATATTAGGAGCCTTCCTCAAGCTAATGGAATCCAAAACGACATCAATGATGTATGTTGATCCTTGAATCACAGTTCTGCTCCATTTATTTTATGTCCTTGCAGATACCTTAAGTCACACCATGCAACACTGACACTCTTGAGAACTCTAGCAGGAACGTTCCCAGAATACACTAACAACCCCCCTCCCACCATTAGCTATGACAAATAGAGAATATCCTATGTTGTAAAAAACCGCATCAGACAGACAGACTTTTGGAGCAAAACCAACTTCCAATGTGAGACAGCTGAGGGGGCTTATAGAATGAGATAACATACAAACTTAATCAGGAACTTACCCAAAACATTGCCAACCATATCTACCATCCCCAGCTATAGCTACCCAACCACACACCATACCCAGAAGTTGTTTCCATAAAAACTGGCTAAAACAAAAGCACTGTCCAGATTGAAGTCATACCATCACAAGTAATTTTTTATGATACCACAGCAATCTAAATATCTTAAATGCTTTCAGGGAATTTAGGACTTAAGAAAAGAGACTAGTAATGAGTAGTATTGATTATGGGGCATTACATCTTGCATAAATTTTTTGCAGACAGGACGTATTTCCTTGCTGAGCGTTGCAGAAAACATCATAACTTGCTTATCATGGGGTGTCATCTTGAAAATAGCTTGCACATCTTTTCTCATGTCTGTAGAATTCATGATGGAAACAAAGAAAACCAATTAAAATCAAAGGACGTCCAAAAGTATGATGCAAGTTATAAGAATGGTTGTTTGGAAAATCAACATACCCAGAGATTCTAGCATCTTATCACATTCATCTAAAATGAAATGTCTAACATTCTTCAAAGAAAGGTCCTTATCCCTAGCCAATCCAAGTATTCTTCCAGGTGTACCAACAACAATACTAGGGCATTCGTTCTTCAATAGATCCTTGTGAACTTTTATGTTGACGCCACCATAAAAGACAGCAACCTTTAGATCGGGTAGGTAGGTGCTAAACCTTTCAAATTCGTTGCATATCTACACAAGAGATATTACACATATATCTTATATCAGAAGTTAATCAAATAGCAATTTCCATAATATTGCAAGTGCTAAGTTCAAAATAAATACCTGGTATGCTAATTCCCTTGTATGACATAAGACAAGTGCAGAAACTTGCCCGGCAACAGGGTCAATCTGCTGCAGGGTAGATAGAACAAATACAGCAGTTTTTCCCATTCCAGATTTAGCTTGACAAATCACATCCATTCCAAGTATAGCTTGAGGTATACACTCATGTTGCACTGGTGGCGAACCAAAGAAAATAGAGGTCCAACGGTAAGTAAAACAAACCTTTGAGAGATTTACCAACGTATAATAGTTCTCCAAAAGAAGATTACGATTTAAAATATTACCTGTAAAATAAATAAGAAATGAAAAACAAACAAGTGTTATTATAAGTGTGATTTTATAAATAGAATCACCATAAAATATAAGATCTTTATGTAAGAACGATAACTGCAGAAGTTAAGCATGGGTGTTTCTGAGAGAAACATTGAACAGAATCGTGTGTATCAGACAACACAGGTGCTTTATTTATATTAATGAAAAAAATAATCATTACAATAAATAGATGAAATTTGATATCCTCTAATAACAAAGATATGAGATACAAGAATAAATAAGAGCATAAACAATAATACATATATAATCTAGATATTTTTTATATATAGGATCAAATCTTGTTTCATAATCAATTATATGTTCTTAGAGACTTAGTGAATATTCGAGTCAATTGCTCACTAGAGTTAACAAATCTAATGATGATGTCTCCAGACTCCAGTTTTTTCTTATGAAATGACCTTCCATCTTAATATATTTGGTCCTTAACGAGAAGAGATTAGAAATAATGTGTATGACTGCTTTGTACTAAAGGTGAATCTGGAAATTTCTTCAACTAGCCTTTGAAGAGTTGTAATCCTTGTTCTATAATCAATTATATGTCTTTAGAGACTAGTGAATTGAGTCAATGCTCACTAGAGTTATCAAATCAATGATATGTCTCCAGACTCCATTTTTCTTATGAAATGACACCATCTTAAATTTTGGTCCTATAACGAAAGAAGAGATTAGAAATAATGTGTACTGCTGCCTGTTGTTACTACAAGGTGAATCTGGGAAATTTCTTCAAACTTAAGCCTTTTGAGAGTTGTTTTAATCATATGAGCTCACAAATGACTAATGTTGTTTTCTATATTTTATTTTTTGCACTTGACCTTGCCACTGTTAGCAAAAATGATGAAGATAAAGTTTTGATGATAACCAAATCAGTCAAGAGATATCAAGTTTCAAGAAGATCCTTTGAAGACTTGTATTGTTATGGAAAGCTTTTGTAATAATTGTAATTAAGTGTTTAGGACTTAGGTTCTTAGTAGTTTTTGATTCCATGTACTTTCACATTTCAAATTTGTATTTATGAGTAAAAAACATACCGTATTAATCGATTAAACCTAGTGATAATCGATTAATCCATATAAGGAGATGAAAAACTCTAACTGCCTCTACAATAATCAATTAAAACTTGCTTTAATCGATTAACTAATCAAATTAAAATGTGGATTAATCGATTAAAGGTGACCGTTGGAGTTTTCTCGCTGTTAAAACTAGCCGTTGTACTTATTTTAATCGATTAACAAGAATATTAATCGATTAAAAGCATTAAAATGGCTGGAAACGAAAAACGGAAGAGTATTTGCTTGAGTCTATAATAGGCTCTCATTTTCCTTCAACAACAACTCTTCCCTTGTACTCTAGTACTCATAAATAATTGAGAATTGTGTGATCGTGCTCAGCTAAAGAAACTCTTGTCTGTGGAGCTATTGAAGTGCTACTGTGGTGACAGAGGAATACCTGGTTCATCCTTGGTGCATCTAAGGAAGTGCTTGGAAGAGAAAGTCATCCTTCGTGAAGTATTCGAAGGAAGTGTTTCATCCTTTGTGAAGACTCAAACGAGGTGCAAGTTCATCTCTTGTGGTATCAAGAGAGGTAGTTTCTAAACTTTTACAAATTGTTTCTTTGTGATTGTAATTTGTAATTGTTTTGTGAGTAGTGAACTGTTTATCTTGATTTGAGATAAGAGACTGGATGTAGGATTGGTAAGATCCGAACCAGGATAAAATTATCTGTGCAAATTTCTCTCAACCTTACTCTTTTATTTATCGTTAATATTTGCTTGGTAAGTTAAATTGAGTAGAAATTTTAAAAGGCACACATTGTTATTTAAAAACCAATTCACCCCCTCTTGGTTTTGTTATTCCACACTAATCATTCCGCTGCAGCCGCTCTGACAACCACAACATTTTTTTCTATTTATCCACAATAAAACTATCTCCAATGAAAACATAATAGCCTGAAGTAGAGTGTCTATCACTTGGTGACCTTGCCAAGTCAGTATCAAAATATCCAACATTTGAATATTTCCTTATCTTTATAATTGAGGTCTTGATAAAGAGTTATTTAAAAATTAACTTACTATGCTTAGAGCAAAGGCAATGTCAGGACAAGTCACACTAAGGAATACGATTCTCCTTTATCAAGTACTAGTTTGACATCACATCCATTGGTGTGCCCACAAGCTTAACATTCATCATCCTTGTTTCTTCTATAATTTCAAGAGCATATTTTCTCTTATATATGACCAAACCCTCATTGGATTGTATGACTTTTATACCAAGGAAATACCTCAAATGTCCAAGATATTTGTCAAGAAAGTTTATGTTTTTAGCTCAATGGCTGAGGCGAAATTTACTCCTACAGTTCCTAATGGTTAAGAAGTAGATTTTAAGTCTAACTCAACCCCAAAAAACCAACTTGTAAGATGCCATTTGTACCCACCACATATATACTGTAAATTGGCCTTAACTCTAGGCGACGTAGACTTCCAACAACACACCTCTCATGCCAAGGTGTATACATCCGTGTGTGGGACTAGACATAGTGGGTGATCTGATAGCGACTCGTAGTGAGTGGAACAATATGCCCAAAAACAAAAAATTTCGTAGGATAGGCCTTATGATGACTCTGATTCATGCTAAGAAGTGAACTTTAAGCCTAAATTGTATAGTGAGTCTACACCCACATATATACTCTAAATTGGCCTTATCTCTAGTCAATGTGGAACTTTCAACACTAATGAACTTCCAAATTGGGAAGGTCCCTGCTGATTTGATGGCCAAGATTATTTGCAATAGAGCCAGTACATTCAAAGAATTCTAAAAGGGATATCAAGATCCAACCATGTCGATGGTGGAGGACCGAGGTCAAATAACCCTAGTTTGAGATTTGGGATGATGAAGATTTCCTAATCAAACCAAATGTCACATTATGGTCTGAAGATAAGTCAAAAATATACGTTTCATTCCTTTGCTAAAGAAATTTGGGATGACTTTAATAAACACATTTTTTCAAAAAGGATTTTTGCCTATCATGACATAGTATGTAGTTATGACGAGTTCAAGACTAACTAGTAAAACAAACACCACAAGACAAACAACAACTCTCTCTCTCTCTCTCTCGCTTATTATCTATATATATACTATATATATATATATATATATATATCATAGAATTTTGAATAGGTTGTGAATCAAACTAGATTAGTACCAACATTTTGAGATGTGCAAAACATATGTTTTCATACATGCCAAATTCGTTGAAAGAAAAAAATCTTTGAATTCTTACATGGTCTTCACCAAATATATGACTTGACATTGCTCATTTAGCCTTACTAATCATTGTTCCTTGTTTGTTTATCAAAGAGTTTAGTGAATCTTTCAATTTGTGACATTTGTCAATTGTAAAACATGACTTTGCATCTTATCCAAGTAGAAAAAAAAAACAGTAATTTCCCCTTTTGAATTAACTCACTTTGATTTTTTGAGCCTACTTTAGAATTATCTGGAGTAAAAATGGTTTGTCACTCTTATTACTGTCACATGGACATATGCTATGAAAAGCAAGTCTTAGGTATTTCAAATCTTTGTTAATTCAATGTTTTGCCCAAAGTCAATTTGAAAAAAAAAATCAAAATAATTAGGTCTGATAATTGTACTAAATATGTGAATCATGAACTCTCCAAATTTGTGTCCCTTAATACCCACATGTACTGAAATAGAGTACTTTTTCAAGAATGTATGAGGTATTTCAAATCATCGTTAATTCATTGTCTTGCCAAAAGTCCATTTGAAAGAAAAAAAGAAAATGAAAAGAATTAGGTCTGATAGTTGTTACTGAAAGTGTGAATCATGAACTCTCCAAATTTTTGTCCCTTAAAACCCACATGTACCAATATAGAGTACTTTTGCTAGAACTTTTAGTGGAGTACACCCGCAAGTATTGAACACGTACATACATAGTACATTTTCATATTAACTTTAGGAGCACTTGTGCTTCAAAATAAATCATTAATTGATCCAGAATCATCACATGACATGTGATCAAGTTTTATTAACTAATTGTAAACTAAACAAAATTGTAATGGGGGAAAATTGGGGAAAAAATAAATGGGAAAAAAACTAAAAATTGAATGAAAATATACATTTAGTCCCAAAACTTAGATTTAAAAGAAATAAATCAATCAAATATTAACGTAATTAAATATAAAGCTTTTATGATAGAGTCCAGTCATAATGTTTCAAAACTGATATCCGATCCAATTAGTTGGGATCAACCCAATCCATGGTCACCCCACACAAAAAATTTAAAGCTTTTAAAACCAATACTGAAACCCATAACTATTCTGTATTCCTAAATCATCAGAATAACTCCGATAGTAGTTATTATAAATAATTATGCAGGTAATTTACCTTCAGAAGGGTGCTCAAATCCAGAGTCCACTATAGCCCGAAGAAGTTCTGGCTTCAGTAAAAAATCTCTGAATCCTGAACTGTGAATTCCAACATAACCCCTGCCAGAAACCAAAAACAGAAAAAGAGCATTCAACATCAGAAGATCATAAAAAAGCAACACAGTCCACTTTCATTCTAACCAACTTTCCCCTGGGCCAGATCATCAACCCATTTCAAGTAAAAACAAAAAACACAAACTTCATTTGGAATTACTCTCGCACAGTTTAACCCCATTAAGAGCAAAGCAATTTTAAACCTCAAAAAATGCAAAAATTAAATGTTAACAATACTTCTTATACCATATGTATATAACAAACACATCAAAATTTGACATGAGAACACTTTCAGGAAAAAACCGCATAACTAACTCACTTCTTGACAGCTTCACCGTTGACTTTATTAGCACCTTCAGGCTCCTTCTCTTCTTCGTCTTCATAGTCAAGAAGGTCCTCCTCGTACGCCTCGTTCTTCGTATCCCCCATTACTGCAATTTACAACAACATTAGTAATTCAATTGCAATCACTGTTACAAACAAACAAGTACTTCAAAAAGAAACCGAGGAAAGAACGAACAAAATATTAAAGCTAGGGTTTGGACGCGTAAACAGAGTTAGATAGAGAAAGTGTTAGGGTTTTGGAGAGTGTACCTGTTCGTAGAAGCGTTCGGAGGAGGCAGTTGAAGGAGTGGAAGGGTTTCTGAAAAGGGAATTTTCTTAGCAGAAAATCAAATTTTTTGGGGGTAAAAAAGGGAGTGAGAGTGATGAAAACTTAAACATCTTAGGATAATAACTGTATAAATAACGCTGCCAAGTGTGAAACGAAAAAATAAAAGCAAAATTATATTTTGATAACTATTTTCCAAGTACCAAAAAAACAGATTTTGATAACTAGGCTGAAGAAATAAACTAAATCCAATATAATAGGAATAAATAATTTTCTATAATTATTAGTAAAGAGATTAATTTGTGTAATTACTTCTTATTAGATACTTTTTTTCTTTACTATTTTATAATTAATATTTTTATTTGTTTTCTTAGTGTAACAAATTATTAATATTACCACTAAAATAAGGATGTTAAGCAACTATTGCTTTCTTTTTACTAGAGAAATCCATATTTTTATTATATTAAAACTAGTGGAAAGGTGTTACTTTTTTTTTATGATAAAAATTGAAAACATATGTTTAATTTTTTTTATGATAATAAACAATAATAAAATTATTCTTATTGTTATTAGTAGACTTATAAAATTAAATATAAATAATTTTTATAATTTTATTTATATGTATGCTTAAAGGAAATATATTTTGGAGTCTATTTTTTTTCTAATTTTATTCTTACTTTTTTAAATTAAAAAAGATTATTTTATCACTATTATTTTTTTAAGTAAGTGTTTAAATTTAATCATTTTTTTTATTTAACATTTTTTAAACTTAACTATTTTTTAAATAAAAATTACGTACAAAATAAATAAAAAATACTTACAATAAAATTGTAAAACTTATTCATATTTAATTTCATAATAATAATAATAACTTTATTATTTTTATTATCATAAAGAAAAAGTAAATAACCAAATAGTTTTCACAAGTTATAAATAGATTTTATTTACCTTATAAATAATTTTATAATTAAAAATGGTTAAATTTTAAACAACGACCCCGAAAGGAAAAGAAAAACTCCCAAATTAATAAGAACAGTTACTTAAAAGATAAAATTAATAAAATAATTATTTTAATCTTAAAATAACTTTATTAAAGTATAATATTGGAAAGCAATTGTGGACATCAAAGATATAATCCTTTATATACATATTTAGATAATTATTTTAATTTAAAAAATACGTTATTAAATGGTAAAATTGAAAAACTAGACACTAAAAATAGAAATCTCTTTATATATAAATATAAATAATTATTTTAATTTTAAAAAAACTTTATTAAAGTGAAAAATTAAAAAAACAATTTGAATAAAAAGGAAAATCTAAGATATAGATAAAAGATAAAAATTATATTACTATAACAATTATTAAAATAAAAAATTAATGTAACCTGTCAAATTTTCAACACTGTTAACACTGTTATAGACTCATCATATATTTAATAAAATTAGAACAGTTAAGCATAATGCATACATAAATTGTTACACTGATCTAAATATAACTATAATAGTACGACATACACCAAAAAATAAATACCCAAAAAAATCATTTTTACAATAAATAAATAAATATATATATATATATATATATATATATATATAACCATCTAAAAGAAAAAAAATCTTAATATAATCCTCTGTTCTTTCTCCACCACCTAATAGTTGATCCAAAAAAATTTCCCATCTACTCACATTATAAAGATGAACATTGTAAACCAAAAAACGAATAAACACAATCATGGTTTAATAATTTGTCATGTCCTTTTTTTTACTGAAAATCTCAAATAAGTTCCTTACTTATTTTTCATCTTAATTGAATCCTAATTTTTGAAAAATTGGTACAATTAGAGTCATACCGTTAAATTTGAGTAACGTGGTTAGACTAGCGTATGTGTGAGATGTTGATGGTGCTTTCTTTAATGACATGACATAAGTAATATAGTTAATAAGGGATTCTGACGTGTAAACTAATGTTTTTTTAATTAAAGAAATTGGGGAAATTGTAATTAAACACAACCCCTTTCTTCAAATTAAGAAATTGAGAAAATAAATTAGGGAAAATTATGAGTGTTTCATCTTTTCCTTCTCTGGTTCAGTTCTTCTTTGAGAGAGAGGGGAGTCACTCTCTTCTTCCTTCTTTTCTAGTTCTGTTTCGATTTCACAAGAAGAGAAAGACACCCTTCTTCTTCCTTTCTTTCAATCTAGTTCGTGTTTGCATCGCAAGGAGAGAAGACTCAATTTCTCTCCTCTGTTTATGGTTATTCTTGCAAGGAGGGTTTCGTTTCCGGTGTCTCAATGGTGCGAGGAGTTCGTTTCGTTGGTGTTTTTATGGTGGTGGAGATCGCGGAAGCTCCCTCTTTCGAAGCAAACATTGACAGTAGCGAAATGGACTGAGATTTTCATTTCACATTTCAAATTAGGGTTTTGTTTTGGGAATTTTAGGGTTTTGTTTCTTCTGTTCTTGATTCTTCTATTCAGTTTAATTCACTTTTGTCAAATTCTTTAAATTAAAAAACCAAAAAGAAAAATACATGTCAAAATCACCTAGAATAAATAAAAAACTCCATGTCATTTAAAACACTATCATCAGCATGCCACGTATACGTTAGTCTAATAGCATTACTCCAATTTAACGGCAAGACTCTAATTGTAAGTAAGGGGCTTATTTGAGATTTTGAACAAAAAAAAGGACCTGGCGAATGATTAAACCTATAATCATTTACAAACATCAACTTAAAATTCAATTATCAACAAATAACAATGTTCATACATATTTTGATATCGAACTATAGGGGCTCTACTCCGGAGGTGGTGCAACAACAACTCCCTCCTCAACAACTACCACACTCCAAGGTTAATCCTTCAAGCATCTATTTGAAAAAGAATTGACCATAAGACTAAGGACCTTCTGCTACTCTCCACCACATAACTATCATTTTCTTCTTGAGACTGAAAGTTATTGAGAGCTTTATAATAACCCCTAATTACTAACATCATATAGCAATGCACACACTTACATGTAATCATCTTAAGAATTTCTCCTTGAAATTCTTATAACATCATATACATATCCCACACACACAAGTAATTCCATATCCAACTTAAATCATAATTCATACATGAAATATCCATTTTACCTTCAATACAATGCCAATATAACAATGTAAACCTCCACACATCACATCTCAACAAACATCATTTAAATAATGTACCAAGAATAGTTACATGGAACCTATATGCCAAAACAAAGAATTTAAAGACCCTAAAAGCAAAAGGAATGTAAAAAAGAAGAAGGAAAGAATCATCCAAAGCACATGGCGCTTAGCGACACATCCCTGTCATTGAATGCTGTTCTTCTCGCAAATTTGGCGCCTGAGTGCCACCTATGTGTAGCTAAGCACCAAACCTTGCAATTTTTTTTCGCTTGAGCGTCACTAGACTACCACTGAGTACCATACAAGATTTTATAACATTACACAAATCAAACCAAATGAACTACATACCTTCCCAAATGATCAAAATAGTATCCTAAGCATATAATTTATTGTAAAAAAAGGTTTTTAACTCAAAATGGAATGCCAACTTGATCACTTATTAATAATTTAGTTCATTCAATCAACTAACTACTCCAAATCACCACTAAACATATTTCATGCATTTCAAACCATATTTCTATGAACTAAGTGGTTATACACAAGTCCTAATTGACCCCAAATAAACACCAAAACTCAAACTCCCTTCCAAAACACATTCCTCCAGAATTTCACTTGTTTAAACCCCACTTTAGACTAAAAAACAACCTGAACAACTCCCTCTTTTCTTCTCCAAAATTTATAGTAGCTTCTATCTCAAACATAACCACTCAAGTGATCAAAATACTTAGCATTCAATGGTCATTCACAACCAAATCTTTCTAATTTCAAATAACTCGCATTCACATCCAATTAAAGCAATCATGATATCCTATCATGAAATTATTCAGCAAGTTATATACATGTTATTTTCATAACTCAAACAATCATCTCAACTAAAGCACACCAGTTTAGATTTACAATTCGTATAAGTTTTATAAACAAAAATATAATTTTCCTTTTGTTGGAAATTCTAACTGTTGTAGACCAAAACTACTCCTTCAGTTTAGAGAACTCTAATCTACATGTACATACCACAGAAACATGATCAATGGTTAGAATCACTGATCAACTAGTCAAAGTATTAGGTTGTGTTTACTTGTGAGTGGATGGATTTGAGATAGAGTGAATGAATGGATTTGAGAGTAAAGTGTGTGTTGTTTTTTAAAAAGAATTTGAAGGTGAAAGTGAAGATATTTGAAGGTAAAGTTTGTTAAAGATTTTATACATGTGATAGAATAAAATAAATGATTTAATAATTTACATATAAGATTACTATTTTACCCTTATAGTTGAAATAAATATATTATTATTATTATTATTATCATTATTATTATTTCTATTTGGTTAGTATTATTATTATTATTACTATTAGTAATTATTACAATTATTATATGTGAATGTATTATTTCCTTCCCTCCATCCTATTTCTTCATAAATCCACTAAAGTGAACATTTACAACTCTCGTAATTTCATCGTCTCCAACAATGTATCAACCAAAGTGAACACAACCTCAAGTGATCTAATTAATATGTCATGAAATATTAAGTGTGTAGATATCATATCCAACATTTCTAGTATGATTAGGGGCCAAATTAGGAATATTGATTTTCTAGAAAAAGTAACCAATAGAGGTTACATAAAATGGTTATGGTCCCATTTGTGAGCATGTACATATTGTTTATGCTTCTTTCTCTTCATCCCATCAAAAAATAAAATCAAGAGGGAACTTAAAGTGCTATATAATTCAAAGATCAAATATATTTGATCTACGTTGTTCCTAATGGCCAATTCAGGTACGCTTCTGCTTTTTCTATGGAATATTTGGGATTACTCAATTAATTGAAGGGTTTATGACTCATTGTTATTAACTTGATTTGATTCATATTCTAACAAAATGTACTTGTCCTTTTAATGAATATTAAGATGAGTGGTTTTTGTTAGTATTGGAGGTCCTAGTAGACAAAATAGAGGATGAATTGGTTTGTAGTT